ACTCACACACACACACACACACTCTCTCTCTCTCACACACACACACACACATACACACCCACACACTCACACTCATACCCACCTGTATAAGTCTCTCCCTCCCCCAGGAAGTAGACCACTTTCCCCGGCACACGAGGCACCCAGGTCTTGTTACTGGCCATGGCCCGAGTGTCCAGGTACTTCCGGGCGGTCATGATCCCAATAAACAGGAAGTTGTCTCCCACCTCGTCTCTGGGCAGCCTCTCTTCCTCTGCCGCTCCCCTCTCTCCCTCCACTGCTCCCTCCGAATCCTGCTGCCAGCTGAAGATTCCATTGGCGAAGAGGGAGCTCTTCATTGACCTCTTGGCCGACAGAGCAGAGTTGACTTGCACTGCATTGTTATGACGTACCAGTATGGGCGGAAGTTTGGCACTGCCACAAGCCGCCTCGTCCAGGGACCTTTCGATACGTTTGAAGAGTACGTGACCGGATATGGCGCCGAGTAGGAAGAATCCGAACACTCGGCCCCAGCCTTTGGCGTCTGGGCTTCCTTTCTTGCTCATCATGCTCGTGGTGGTGGTGGTGTTTGTGGTCTGCTTGTGGTCTGTTTGTGGTCTGTTTGTGGTCTGTTTGTGGTCTGTTTGTGGTCTGTTTGTGGTCTGTTTGTGGTCTGTTTCTCTATGTGCGTGCGGTTCCTTTTTTCTCTTCAACTGGGGAGAATAGAAATATTTTCTTTAGAAGCAGTTTATGGTGAAATGGATGGGGTACTTTTACTAGGAGTTTAACGACACTTGTAATGCAAATGTGAGGCAGCGTGGTGGAATCAGGCTCTCGTCAAAATAAGCAAAGTGAAGAAACTTGCATTTTTCCGAAGATTTGTGAATGTTTATCAGTTATTTGTTTTTCGGCTCAACACCTTTCATACCCATTCAAGAACTCATTTCTTAGTGGAATTTTCTTAACAACATTGATTAAAGGCGCAAAAAAATGTAAATTTTCAGTTATCCCGGACTCTTGGTAAAGCTAAGGAAATAACTAATCTTTGGTGGCCATTTTCTCACTAACTTTACCTCTGGAAACAGGTGACCCCATCTCCTTCATTCGCAAATATCTCGACTTGTAATCAAGATAAATGGATATTTTTTTTATTGACATAAAGACAAATGAAGAAGCTTTAAGATGACACCAATAACTCTACATGCCCAAAAATTGACAAGCGACTGATTCCACCACGCTGTCTCACAAATAGATCAAGTAAAATGTGAGATTACATGTGTTATTATCCCCCCCCCCCCAAACCAGGGCTGTGTTACAGACTGAAGTTGTCTTTAGGCCATTCCTAAAGGGGGGAATATTAACATGTTCTTTTGCAAAGTTGAATTTTAAATGGGCTGACTCATCAATGTCAAGCTCATACTGTGCCGGAAAGACATAGGAGGGACTGCTGCTTTTTCTTTCCTCATCCTTGCAATTGTCCTTTTCCTCTTCTTCCTTTGAATTGTTTGTCTGTCACTCTCTTGTGAACTGCTATTCCCGGGATGCCGTAATAGTAGAAGCAGACTTGTGCTGTTGAGGCTGGAGAGGTGAGCTAAGTAAGCCTGATTCCCCGTTTGGACTTTCTGTTGACATACACCCCT